AGAATGTCTATGACACGAAAGTTTCTACTATATTTAAAATCTTAGAATACTCTACAATCGCTAGAATTACTATAATCTTCGAAATCTCTTGAATCTTCCGAATGTTTAAACCAGTTTTGGGAATATTTGGAACATTCGAAATACTTTAAAAATTTTGGAAATTTTAAATGTCTCAAGGTTCTAAACATTCTCGAGATTTTAGACGTTCTAGAGATTCAGAGATGTTAAATATTTTAGAAATTCTAAAGATTCTAGGAATTCTACAGGTTTTAGCGATAAATTCTAAACATTCCAAAAATTCCCTAAAGTTTTAGAGCCTAACGATTCAAAAAATTGTAAGGATTCTTAAGATTCTGGGTTTTCTAAAGTTTCTAGAGATTTTGGAGATACTAAAGGTTCTTAATATTCTAAAGTTTCTAAAAACTACCATCTCTTAGAATCTCCAAAATCTGTAGCATCTCCAAAATCTTCAGAATCTGTAGAATCTCTAAAACTTGTAGAACCTCTAGAATAACTGGAACCACTAGACTCTAAAAGTTTGGATTTCTTGAAATCTTTACAATTTCTAGAATATTTAGCACCTTCAGAATCTTCAGAACTTCTAGAGAATTTCTATCTTTAGAATCTCTAGAATATTTAGAATTTCGCGAATTTTTCGAACCTTAATAATTTCTAAAATCACTAGAATCTCCAAAAAATCCAAACCTCTGCATTCTTCGGATATTTTTGAATTTTTAGAATCTTTAAGAACTCCGAATCTTTAGAATCTCGAGAATATCTAAAACCTCTGGAATTTTTAGAATCTCTATGATTTTTGGAATTTGCTTGAATTTCTGAAATTTTAGAATCTTTTGAAACTTCAGAATGTCTATGACACGAAAGTTTCTACTATATTTAAAATCTTAGAATACTCTACAATTGCTAGAATTACTAGAATCTTCGAAATCTCTTGAATCTTCCGAATGTTTAAACCAGTTTTGGGAATATTTGGAACATTCGAAATACTTTAAAAATTTTGGAGATTTTAAATGTCTCAAGGTTCTAAACATTCTCGAGATTTTAGACGTTCTAGAAATTCAGAGATGTTAAATATTTTAGAAATTCTAAAGATTCTAGGAATTCTACAGGTTTTAGCGATAAATTCTAAACATTCCAAAAATTCCCTAAAGTTTTAGAGTATAACGATTCAAAAAATTGTAAGGATTCTTAAGATTCTGGGTTTTCTAAAGGTTCTAGAGATTTTGGAGGTACTAAATGTTCTTAATATTCTAAAGTTTCTAAAAACTATCATCTCTTAGAATCTCCAAAATCTGTAGCATCTCCAAAATCTTCAGAATCTGTAGAATCTCTAAAACTTGTAGAACCTCTAGAATAACTGGAACCACTAGATTCTAAAAGTTTGGATTTCTTGAAATCTTTACAATTTCTAGAATATTTAGCACCTCCAGAATCTGCAGAACTTCTAGAGAATTTCTATCTTTAGAATCTCTAGAATATTTAGAATTTCGCGAATTTTTCGAACCTTGAGAATTTCTAAAATCACTAGAATCTCCAAAAAATCCAAACCTCTGCATTCTTCGGATATTTTTGAATATTTAGAATCTTTAAGAACTCCGAATCTTTAGAATCTCGAGAATATCTAAAACCTCTGGAATTTTTAGAATCTCTATGATTTTTGGAATTTCTTTGAATTTCTGAAATTTTAGAATCTTTTGAAACTTCAGAATGTCTATGACCCCAAAGTTTCTACTATATTTAAAATCTTAGAATACTCTGCAATTGCTAGAATTACTAGAATCTTCGAAATCTCTTGAATCTTCCAAATGTTTAAACCAGTTTTGGGAATATTTGGAACATTCGAAATACTTTAAAAATTTTGGAGATTTTAAATGTCTCAAGGTTCTAAACATTCTCCAGATTTTAGACGTTTTAGAGATTCAGAGATGTTAAATATTTTAGAAATTCTAAAAATTCTAGGAATTCTACAGGTTTTAGCGATAAATTCTAAACATTCCAAAAATTCCCTAAAGTTTTAGAGTCTAACGATTCAAAAAATTGTAAGGATTCTTAAGATTCTGGGTTTTCTAAAGGTTCTAGAGATTTTGGAGATACTAAAGGTTCTTAATATTCTAAAGTTTCTAAAAACTATCATCTCTTAGAATCTCCAAAATCTGTAGCATCTCCAAAATCTTCAGAATCTGTAGAATCTCTAAAACTTGTAGAACCTCTAGAATAACTGGAACCACTAGATTCTAAAAGTTTGGATTTCTTGAAATCTTTACAATTTCTAGAATATTTAGCACCTCCAGAATCTGCAGAACTTCTAGAGAATTTCTATCTTTAGAATCTCTAGAATATTTAGAATTTCGCGAATTTTTCGAACCTTAAGAATTTCTAAAATCACTAGAATCTCCAAAAAATCCAAACCTCTCCATTCTTCGGATATTTTTGAATTTTTAGAATCTTTAAGAACTCCGAATCTTTAGAATCTCGAGAATATCTAAAACCTCTGGAATTTTTAGAATCTCTATGATTTTTGGAATTCGCTTGAATTTCTGAAATTTTAGAATCTTTTGAAACTTCAGAATGTCTATGACCCCAAAGTTTCTACTATATTTAAAATCTTAGAATACTCTACAATCGCTAGAATTACTATAATCTTCGAAATCTCTGGAATCTTCCGAATGTTTAAACCAGTTTTGGGAATATGTGGAACATTCGAAATACTTTAAAAAATTTTGGAGATTGTAAATGTCTCAACGTTCTAAACATTCTAGAGATTATAGACGTTCTAGAGATTCAGAGATGACTAGACCCTAAAAGTTTGGATTTCTTGAAATCTTTAACATTTCCAGAATCTCTAGAATATTTAGAATTTCACTAATTTCTCCAACCTTAAGAATTTACAAAATCTTTAGAATCTCCAAAAAAATCCAAATCTCCGAATTCTTCGGATTTTTTAAATCTTTAGAATCTTTAAAAACTACAGAATCTTCAGAATCTCGAGAATATCTAAAACCTATAGGATTTTTGGGATTTCTTGAATGTCTGAAATTTTTAGAACCTTCAGAATCTTTCGAATCTTCAGAATGTCTAGGACTATTAAAACCGTTAGACTCTAAAAATTTACAATCTCTAGAATCACTAAATTATTCACAATCTCTAAGAATACTCGAATATTTGGAATATCTGTAATTTCTAGAATCTCTAGACTCTCCAAAATCTTTACAATCTTTAGAGTATCTAGAATTTTGAAAATATCTAGAATGGCTAGAATCGATAGAACCTAAAGTTTGTATTATATTTGTAACCTCTAAATACTGTACAATCTCTAGAATTACTAGTCAAACATTCCCTGAAATCTTTGGAATCTTTGGAATCTTTAAACCAACTTCTACGATTTTTTCAAAATATTCTGGAGATTCTAAAATCTCTTAACCTATCGTCATAAATCAAGTTTTGTCCCAATATCTTGCCAACCAGCGCAAATCCGGCTTTAGCTATATTTATAATCTTACGGAATTTGGAAAACTATACCACAATTTATATTGTCAAATTTCTCATTGTCAAAAATAACAAAATTATTAAGTTTTCAAGTTCTTTAAATTCTGGAAGCTTATGTTCCGCATGAGTGTGAACCCTTCTCTGGCATGTGGAAAACACTGCTTTCCGAACTTGTTGCGTAAACATCTACTTTATCACGTTTTTCTTAAAGGGAAAAATAAACTCGGCAAATGTAGGACATGTCGTTATATTAACGCAAAATTACATCATTACTAGCCTCATAAGGGACCACGTCCATAAAGTTCTAACACAACAAACCCTTGGTCACCGTCCACCTCCGGGGCCCTATCCGAAAATTCCCTTCAAGCATCAAATGTGGCCGCACAAGTGACATACGCAGCTTTGAAGTCGCAAGAAATAAAAGTGATCCCCAGGCAACATTGTTTGTGTTTCCATTAGCTTGTGCTAAAGCCGTCGTGCATGTGTGTGCCTTAATCTATGTGTTGAAGTCCGGCTTTATTTCTGCACTCGGTCAGCCTTGGGGCACAACTTGAAAGGATGCCACTCACTGGCGTTCTTTGATTTCGAAACGAGAAGAAAGGTTTCCGCTCCGGAAAAAAGTTTAAAATAAGAAATGATCCCCGGAAAACTTTCCCAACTAACTCAACTTTTTCATTACGTCGCGTCCCGATCTGTTCGCAGAAAAGTGATTTTAGTAAATATTTAATTTACGTTAAATAAGTTTAGCGAACGCATTTTACGGAAAATGGCCGACTACTTTATTTAAATTGGGAAGTTCGTTTCGCCCGCACCTTGACGAATCACGTAAAGAAAATAAAAAATAAGAACGGTTCGGTTTTATTGGTCCATTTGAGAGACGACTCGAATCGGCCGACGTCGTGTAACCCAAAACTTTTATCAATCGGGCTTAAATAATAACAGCTTAATTTATTTAAGGCGGCTTTACAATGTTAAAATGTGATACATTATCGCCGACAACTGCCGAAAAGTCGTAAAATTGCTTTTATTATAAAAATTAAATTTAACAGCACGATTTATTTTGGTTTTACGATTTGTCGCGCGACATTACGGCGAAAGGCGTTTCTTTGTAAGCCAATTGGGTTATAAAGTCGATACGATAAATCTACAAATTTCGAATACTCTGCTGGGTAATGAACAGCATTCCTGATTGGCAATTTGCAGTCGGCAGCCCTCTGTATTTAGTTAAATCACTTCATATTATCAATTAACAGTAAATCTATTGTCTGTTATTAGGATCTGATCGATACACCAGAGCATGTTATTGTCATGTAAAGTCCTGATGAAATGCTCGTGCCCTGTAATAATTTTCGTTCGACACGAACAAAGTTACAATTTATAGGTCGTGCGTCAGGCGGCACTGCGTTTAAATAGGTTTTTATTTCACCATAATGTAGTTGGAGGGCTTATTTCCCTCGAGTTCTTCTCTATTAGTTACATGTGATTTTTTTTTTCAGTATATGGGATCGTTTTCTGTAGCAGCGTCAGAACAAATTTCCAGGAGCGAATTTGTCCGTGATCGGCTGCAACAGATGCTGGTAAGTGGTTTTTCTCATTAGACAAAACGCGGTTCTAGATTTTTCGTAACCACAAATTTATAACAAACACACTACAAATGATTATCACTGAGCGACTGTTAATGTTGCTAAAACCACGATTATGACTGATATTCGACGCTTTAGGTTGCTCATTTTCGCTGAAATTTTCAGTCAGATTGTAGTTCGGGGTTTCGTTGTGTTGCTGCATTCTGCGTTCGTCTGGTTCAGGAGTGTCGCTAGTGGAGATTACCAGTTCAGTGGTGTCTTCTATTTCTTCTATAGCTATGTCTTCACCAGCACTGTCAACGTCGTCGTCGTCGTCGTCATCGTCATCGTTTTTATCTTTTAGAAATGATAATGTGGCGGTTTGAAAGAAATCAAAAGTATGCATGTTACCTTGTCTCTTTTCAATTATTTGAGATCTAGAAATTCTTCTTAAAATTCTAGTTAAAGCCATGTTCGAATTTCGTTCCAGCCTCATTTCGCCTGAAATCAGTTACAAAATTAGAATATACATATGTCTCAAGATGTAATTAACAAATTCACTAAAAGAAGTTGAAAGTTGACAAACTTCAGAGAAGTTCTTATTTAGTTTAATGTTTTATTCTGTTAAGTGTTGTAATAGGTTTTTTGTAGTGACACTTCGTACAAGTAAACAAAAGCTCGACTAAGCATCTCATGATTCTTAGAAAATCCCAAAGTTGTTTCAAAAGATAAAGGCGTCTAAGATCTTTAAAAAATTTTCAAAAAAAAACACAAGTGGTCCTTCACATTTCGAAGAAACAACATTACGAGCCTCTCAGATTCTTTCAAATACTTTCGAAAACAAAATAGGACAGATTGTCGAGGTTTTTCAAATTTTTTCAGAAATAAAACACCAAGATTCCAGAGGATTGGCCTCAAGATTCTTTCATATTCTTACAAAAATACAATGAATGGTCGATTCTGGAAAAACAGTAAGATTTAATGAAGAAATCAGGCCGAAAGTAATTTCTGGAGATCGGAATCTACAAGAAAATATCTTTTATTAAGTTTTGAAGGTGGACAAAAATTGGCCCAAATATTTTTTTTTATAGTTTTGAAAAATTTTGATTTTGAAAAAGTTGGAAAAAAATTCGCAAAAAATTCTGAGATTTAGATTTCGAGATGCCGATTCCAAAAATGTCCCGGAGAAATATTTTTGAATTATTCGGTTTGAAATTTAATTCTTTTCAAAATCCAAAAAATGTCCATATTTCAACGGACGATTTTGGAAAAATGGTAGAAGTTATCGAAGAAATGAGATCGAAAATAACTTCTGAATAATAATATTAATAATAATAATTTTATTCTACCCTTTAGCATACAATATAAGTACATTGGGTCGTCAAAATATTACATTTAGAGAATACAGACACAAGTTTAAAATATAAAAACAAAAATATGACATTTACATATAACCACTCTAAGTAGGCTTAAAATTTTGACTTATATGGAAGTAGTCATCCCATGAATATAACGCGAACCCTGTTAAATTTTCTTTAATGACAGATTTAAAATTTTGTCCATTTAACTCCCGAATGTTCTGAGGTAAAGCATTATAGAAGTTAATGCCTAGGTATTCAACTCCATTACGAGACTTTGTCAGTCTAGTTTTCTTTAAACATAAGTGTTCACTGTATCGTGTATTATAATTCTGAATCTGATTATGACATATATAATCACTCAAATTAACTTTAACATACATTAGACAAAGATATATATATAGCGATGGCAATGTCATGATTTGCATTTTAGTAAAGGTGTCTTTACAGTCAGCCCTGTAAGGTAAATTAGCTATTATTCTTACTGTTCTCCGTTGCAATTTAAAAATTCTGTGAAAAATGCTAGAGTGTCCCCACATTAATAAGCCATAGGTTATGTGGGGCTGAAAGAGTGCAAAATATGCTGTATACAGTGTTTCCAGCGGAACCTTGTCCCTAAGATTTCTTAAGAGAAATGTAATTTTACATAGTTGGTTTGCCAGTACATCACCTTGAGCATCCCATCGCAAAGCATTGTCAATCGTTATACCTAAAAATTTGTTACAGGTTACAAAGTCATCGGGAACGTGTATTCTTTTCTTTAGGGAGAATAACATTCTTACAGTTTTTGATGTATTTACTGTTAATCGGTTAGCGACGAACCAACTTTCGGTCTTTGATTGTGCCAAAGCCTGGTCTGTGAGTACCTGTAAAAGATCCCTTCCGCTGCAAATCAAAGTCGTATCATCTGCATATAGAATGCTCTTGCAGTGAGTCCTCATATACATTGGAAGATCGTTAATGTACATTAGGAACAAAAGAGGTCCAAGGACAGAGCCTTGAGGTACCCCATGCAAAACTGGTAGTTGCTCAGACCGTTTTGAATTTACAGAAACTAACTGAGATCTGTCACTTATGAAAGATGACAATAATCTGCAACAACAGGGACTTAAATTGTACATATATAATTTTCTCAATAGCGTCAGGTGATGGACACAATCGAATGCCTTAGTAAGATCAAGAAAGGACACTGCTGTTATTCCGCCATTTTCCAAAACATTACCAACCTCTCTGATAAAATCTAGCACTGCTCCAACCGTAGAGTGGTTCTTCCGGAATCCATGTTGTGAAGGTGACAGCAAGTAGTTAATTTCGAGATAATTACTTAATTGGTTATACAAGATTTTTTCCAAGATCTTAGAAAATATTGGAAGAATAGAGATCGGCCTATAGTTGGAGGTGTCGTTTATATCACCTTTCTTATGTATGGGAACAACTCTAGCAATCTTCAGACAGCTAGGAAATACTGATTGCACAATACAAATGTTAATTAGTTTAGTTAAAGGGGAGATCAAAATGTCTTTGATGCTTTTTATGATCGTAACATTTAGTCCATATATATCGTTGGATCTACTATTTTTTATAGAGTTTATCACATCTCTAACAGTTGCACCGGAGACCTGGCAAATAGAATTATTCTTAATGGGAAATTGATGAATTTATTAATTGTTAATATGAATTCGGTTTTTTGATTAAAAGTTAAGAGTTCGTTGTTTGAGATTAATAATTTATTAATATAGGATGTTAGTCAGGCAATAATGGGTAAAGGGATAATAATTATTAAAATCTTAAGATTTGTTTTAAATTTTTCGTTTGATGCAATTCTTGTTATATATATAAAAAGAATAAGAAAATTAGACATACAGTTTTTAGGAATGGACATACTCTCACTCATTAACATTATTGGATCATCACGAGAAGGAGATAGATTATTGACTAAATTAGATGCAACATTAGTAAAATAGATATTAAAATCATCGCATGTTCGAATACAGTTCAACATATCAGTATTTTTACTAGAAGTGCTGTCACGATACTTGTTGACAATATTCCATAGAGCTTTACTTTTATTATTTGCAGAATCAATAGTTTGTTTATTGAAATTTATTCTACTAAGCCTAATTTCTTCTCTATACAATTTCCTATAGCTATTCTTTATTTACCTAGACTCACTACTATTAACAATTTTGTCAATATCTACAAGTGTTTGTAAAATATTTTTCATTCGGGCCAAATTTTCAGTAAACCATTTGTCACGATTTGGCTTATTGCTACCATTGAACAGTCTTGTAGGAAAAGACCTATTGACATGATCAGATATTATATTTGTAAAACATAGAAATTTATCATTAATGTCTTGATTACTATTCCCAATAAAGGACCAGTCAACTGTATTAAGTGAATGATATAGACTGAATTTACGGAGAGCCGTAATCGGCCTATACATTTTTGTCGTGTGATAGATTGTCTGATTACTTAAGTTTACAGAAAAAGTTAGTGATATTGCGTTGTCGTGATCAGAAAGTAGAGTATTCAGTGGTTTACAATTACAATACTTAAGATCGATATTTGTGAACACGTTATCTAGACAGTTCGCCTTTCTGGTTGGAAAATTTACTAAAGGTATAAGACCGAAACTACTCATAAAATCACAAAGCCTAGTTGTCATATGATCTTTGGTGTTAAATTTGACATTGAAGTCCCCTGATATCACTACATTTGTGTGAGGAATGTCAATTCCGCCTAAAACTTTACTCAAATTTTCCAAGAAACGGTTTAAATTTCCTGCTGGGGGGCGATAAATATTAATAAAAATTATACCCAAAGTTGGCAATGACACGCCAGCAATTTCTGTAATTTTTTCTTCTGAAAATTTCATGCATGAAGGAAGTGGTACACAAGTTAGTTTCTTTTTCGTCAGGATCATGGAACCTCCATGCAAATCATTGCTTCTAGAAAAATGTGCCGAAACAGAGTAGTTTTCCAAAGTCAAAGAGTTTGATTCCTAGTCATTTAGCCAGTGTTCGGATATACCAACCAGTTGGATATCTTCCGTATGAAGAATAACTTCTAACTCATTTAATTTATTTTTAATCGATTGAATGTTAATAATTAATATGTGAAGGAGATGTGCAGCACCATCTTTAAGATCCTTCTCAGATTGATGTGTTTTTACACTGGTAGGGTTTTCATTGGTCTTCTGTGAAAAAACCTTGATACATGATATCCATATGGCCATATTAGTGGATCCATTGCTTGGTTAAAATTTTCAAGATGAACACTTAATTTGTAGGAGGCATAATGTTGCGGGAATTTAGACAGATTTTCTCCAATACACTTTACTTCTGGGAACTTAGGTTTTAATAATAATTCTATATTAGTTGGTAATGTGTCCGGATGTAGTCGGGACACATAGATAAATGCCAATTTAGGGATTGTTTTTATTGTCTGTAGTTCTTTGAATTGGCCAACAATTTTTGGTTGTCTGCTATTGGACTTCATCATGGGGTTTTTATGTTTTTTCTTACCAGCTATAGACCAGTCATCGTCTTTACTGCTAAGCATCAATTTGGAGTGGTCCTGTTTAGTTTCGGAATCCTTTATAGTTAAGGATTCAATAACTTCATCCTGTATCTTGCTTTGCTTTGGTCCAAACTGCCATAAATTACTTTCCTTGATGATACTGGAGGATGGTAAACTGCAGTTTTTTTCCGGCAACATTGGTTGTTTGGGTGACGCTGATTTTACACATGTGTTGTTAGCGGTCACTTTTTCGTATCCCTGATTCGCACCTATATCAGTTGTTTTTGTAGATTTTGTAGATTTGTTATCAAAGGATTTGTTCTTGTCGCAGCAAAGCGTGTCTTGTATCTGCTGTACATCATTTGTTAGCTTGAGCATCTTTTCCGATATTTCGGTCTTTATAGACTCCAGAAAATTGGACAATTTAAGGTCCAGAAATACCGATACAGCAGTATTTTCTGATGAAAATTTTTCTTCAAGTTTAAATTTTTCGTCATGAAGTATTTCAATTTGATCTTGCAAATGAATTACTTGCTTACGTAGATTTTTGTTTTGCTGCTTTAATTCAGCATTCTCTAGCGCCGTAAGTGTCATTTCGTTTTTTGAGATCGTATTCTTTAG